GGCATATCCTAGAGCTCCCTCTGAGCGCCTTCTGGTACGTTTAAATTGAATATGCTATAAATGTCTTAAATAATTTCTTTTTAAAAAATAATAACAAATTTCTTTTGTTAATTCAGAGAGATTTTTTCCTTGGTACTGAACAAGCTTTGCAACAACACTTCAATGGTTCAAATGATACACAACAATAGAGGGACATAAACACAGTGGCAGAGCTTTGTCGTGGTTTGCGTAGCCAGTTGTATATTCAAGATCAAGGATATTTTGAGGATAGAAGTGAGCATGATACACCATTTTCCATGACCCAGGAACCTCCTCAGCAATACAGTGGATATGCTGGACCCTCCTCTTATCCTGATCAAGGGCCATCTACGGATCTCTTCAGTAGCCAGGTGCCAGCGGATTTGGATGCATACCTCACACCGGATTTTGTACCGAGCTCCCTTCATAGAGATGACATAGCTGAGGAAGAAGTTGTTGAGGAGGAGCATCACATGCTACGTCAAAGGCCACGATGACCTCCACAACATTACACTCTAGGCACTGATGCATTGCCACAGAGGCCACGTAGGCGACGCTAGTTCATCTTTTTATGTATTTCAGTATGCTTATGTTATGGATCATTTCAATTAATTTAATCTAGTGTGTTCAAAATCAAATAGATTTCAAAATCACATAGCCTTTCATTCCATAATGAGTTCATTATTTTTATCTAGTGGTCTTGCATGCTAATCCTTTGCTTCAATGTTCAAATAAGATGAAATGAAGATTACTAGCGTTATAATGATTTAATTTTACTTATGTACTAATCTCAATAGTTTAAAATTGCAATATAATGATTGAACTATCAAATAAGTTTAATAGCAAAGGCTGTAACATCCATTGGAAGCATTTGCTGTAACGAATCAGATTTTTTTTTTAAATTATAGCATAAGTCGCCCGTTTAACAGGCGACTTATAAGTCGTCTATAATCCGTGCGACTTATTAATATAACCATTTCTTTGCCAACTCAGCATAACGACTACAATCCTAGTCAGCTTAAGTCGCCGTTTAAACAGGCGATTTTTCCTATATTTAAATTTTTTTTAAAACGTGCTTAATTTGTTAATCCAATTTTTAATTATGCTTATTCTTAAAATTTTCCCTACTATATATATATATATATATATTGGAATTTAGATATAGGTCAATAACTTCATATGTGAATATCCCCTTTTAAACTATCACATATATTTCTAAAAGTTGAAAGTTTGCAACGAAAAGTAACCTTAGATATATACATCTGAAAAAGAAAATATTTATTGGCGATTTCTTTGCTTTCTAAATACCTATAGAAGTTAAAATAATATTTACAAGTTCTAAAAAAAGTTAAAATTAAAAAAAAATTTCTTGTACACACTACATACGGGGGCGTCTAATTTTCAAACAATCGTTATTAAAAAGAAACTAATAAATAGTCACTTTTTGAACTTGTACACTTTGTGTAAAAGTTTGTACACACTGGGTACGTGTATATTTCAGTTTGTATAGATATTTAGAAGTTCAAAAAAAAAAAAAAAGAACCGGTACTTAACGAGAAATCTGAAAAAAAAAAAAAAAAGTTTTAACTTGTACATAGCATGTACAAGCCATGTCTATATGTTTTGACTTGATGTATTTAACTTTTAATAAATGTTATTTAGGTTTATTTTATGTTGTACTTCTTTTATTGTGATGATATATTATTTTTGGAAATTTTCTAAAGATTCAAGCATGAACCAGAATAACGTTTACTCAAAATTAGAAAAATACTTGAATCCCATTCAAAGCCTGCTCGAGCCATGCTCAAACTTTGTTTGAAAATGATTCTAACAAGCTTTGAATAAGGCATGATAATATAGTATAATGCACAAAAGTACAATCAAAATATCTACAACACAACAAATTATAACTTCAATAGAACAAAGTACAAATGCAACATTTATAATATGACATGATAACTTTAATGTAATAAAGTACAATCACAACTGTTATAATACGACACAGTTGAATATCTTCTCTTGCGTATCTTGTGAGTGCTTCATCTACTTAATCATGATAAAGCCAATCTCTTTCCATTTAATATAGCTATTACAAAACTCGTCTATATCACTTTAAAATATTTAAATCTATCCTCATATTTTAAAGTTTTAGAATCATGAATTTGTGCACTCTTCTTTATTAAAATTAAATTTTGCTTAGCCCTTTCAAAGAGATTAAAAGAATTAATCTGTCTAATATTTTTTTTTCTTTTACAACCCATGTCTATATGTGGCCTAAGCACTGTAATACCTCTCTATAGGTATCCTTATTGTGAACCTTTGTATGCATACAAATGATTTGAATGAATCAATTCCTTAAAGATAGATAGCACAAAATAAAATGGTATGATTCTATGCACATTTGAACTTCATGTAAAACGATCGATACTAGCATGATTTGAGTAAGTTTTGAATTAGATTCAAATAATGACCAAATATGATTGTAACTATTCGTTTAATAAATTCCACGTAAAATAAACTCTCTTTGTCACAAATTATGATGTACACTCTCTCACTTTTAGTAGCCTTCTTATTATAACATGTACATAGAAAGGATGAATATTATTCAAATCTAAACATTTTCTTGGAATATACGATGGCTAGAATGTAGACTATCGCTCTAAAAGTTTATCGCATATCGACCACACGGGCTTTGATCTGAGATCACGGCAATAGATTGTGTTCGATAGAGAGATGTTTAGGCATCTCTGTAATCATTTTGATCAGAAAATAACTAGCAAATATATTTTTTTAATAAAAAAGTATGAGGTATAAAAAAATTTACGCAGGCAAAGCGACTTCGTTTTTGTGGTGCAGAACTTGTTGGAATTTTTATATCATAATATAAAATGCGGAAATAAAAATCAGGATTTTTAGAAAATTAAATTAAGACATTCTCAATATTAATTTTCTTAATAAATAACTTTATAATATGAAATGAAGAAAACTTTACCGAATTATTGATTGAGATTTAAGATCTTCTTCGTCGAAACATTGATTGAGACCGTAAGCCTTCTTCTTCTAATCACCCCACAAAATATATTTTAGTGAGTGGGTACAATCAATCAATTATTGATGAATACTTTTTCTTTTGAATCTAATTTGTGTTCTACTAATAATATTTAATTATAGATTCCAACTATAATTAATAATTATGAACTTGTTTTGATTATTATCCATAATTCAATCATCTTGTATATAATTATATACTGAATTATGGTTGCATAAATAATCATGGAAAAAAATTATTATATCAAATGATAATATCGAAACATGCTAAACTTGTCTTTAAATATTTATTTCCATAGAAAATATATTACAATAATATTTCTTTAGGGCACAACCCTAACAGAACTAACAAAAGAAATTTAAGGCATTTAATTTTAAAAAAAATTGTATTTTCATTACCTCTCTCATCTGTAATTTAATTGTTAATTATAGTACTTGATAATGATTACTTTGCATAGAAAAATGAAATTCTTTGTTGTAATTTCTTTTTTTTTTCTGTTAGAACAAATTTACTTGGCAACTACGAAATCAATTAACAAAGTTAAATGATTTTAGATTCCCATATGGTATCAAGATTACTTTTGGAGATTAAGCTAAAGGCTAAAGAAACTATGCTTGAAAAGCAGCAACAAGCAATGCAACTCTTTTGCTTTAATACCAAAAGCTTAAAGAAGCAGCAGAATGCCATGACGTTTGTAGATTTAAGTTGGGTTTTGCAATAATGAAGTTTGGTTTGGAAGCAAACTTCAGTGATCCATCAAATTTCCTTAATTATATCTTCTGGCATGTGTTAATTGGTTTAATGCATTTATCCAATTGTGTACTTGAATCTTTGCTAATTTTTAAACCGAGATCTCGTTAATATAGCATTTGCTATTAAAAGTGTGGATGGCTACCTATGTATTTGTATGATTCTTCGACTGAATACTGTTGATTCTTGATTAGATTGTTAAACATAAACTAATGTCCCAAGGCTAATCAAGAGGGGGGTGAATTGATAATTTAAAAAATTTCTCTTGGATTATAGATTTAAAAACTGTTGATTCTCAAAGTAAGTTAATTAACGTTTCAAAATAACTTTTCAACTACAAAAAAATAACTTGCAGTAAATAAATGTGGAAATTTAAAAGACACAAAGATTTATAATGGTTCGGTCAAACATGACCTACATCCACTCCATGAAGATTTCTTCTTCAGGTATTGCATTATTACCAAAGTGACTCTCCTTTTGCCCCCACAGCAAGGCGGAGAAGCCTTTATAAAACTCTCTTCCACCAATCCGCGGTGTGGATTCTCTTTGAGGAGATAATCTAGTTATGGGACTAAATAACAAATGCATTGATGTATGAGATGAATTAGAAGTCATTTCTCAAACCAAATTTCCCGGGAGTCATTGCTTGATCGTTAGGTAATGAATTTTTTTCATGTTAAGTTGATATGAATTTTGGATTTGTAGCTATGTTGTTCACCGTAGCAGGTTCACGCATTGATTACTTACTGCTTTCTATTTCTCGTATGTGTATGGAATCAGACAGTTAAGGTTTTTCAATGAATTGCATATTAATGAATTGAAACATATTATCCACCAACCAGAAAGCTGACTGCAGACTTGCTATATCCCCAAATTTTCCATTCAGATAGTGGTTCGTCAATAAATTTTTTGTCTAAACGTATCCAAATTTTATTTAGAATTGGTATTGTATTAATAAAGTAATTATAAAAAAGGAAATTTACATACATACCACTATATACTTAATATTTTACATATCTAACACCTCATACATTAATATTACATATATACCACTCAAATCCCTACTTTATTTCGTTTCTACCACTTCATCTAACGCCTCCTCACGACGTTTCTCTGTGTCCGCCCCTTAACTGTGACGGATGGACGGAAGTATTTCTTCCCGCTGAAATTCTTGTTGCCGCTAAGTCTCTCATTTTTCCTTTCCTCGGACGTCTCGCATTTTCCACCATCTGAAGCTCCTGATCGCATTGTTCTTCACGGTAATTTCTTCCGCCGAATTTCCTTCAGGGTTGCTGTAATGGCAGTAATAAGAACTGCGAAATGTCGTAGACTAATTAGTCCACAGAGATAAATGATTTTGCAATTAATTAGTCTCCAGGCATTTTTCAATATTCAGGTTGTTCCAATAAATGATTACCTTAGCTCCAGAGATTCATGCATTTATTTTTCTAAGAAATTTTTTAAACTTACATGACATTAATAAACAGAGATAAATGATTTTTCTAAGAATTATTTTTTTAAATAAGTTAAAGTATTGAAACAGAAATTGTTTGTTGTTTGAAACAGAAATTTGAAGGAAATTGTTTGTTGTTTGAAACAAATATTGATGTGTTCCAAGACGACCGATTATGTAAGTGTTCAATGATTCATATGCAAGACTTCATAAATGTTCAAATAACATTTTAACCATTGTTAGTGCAGGCTTATGGTGACAATATTGAAAAAATTTATACGAAGAGCAGAAAGAGTATATTTCTGTTGTATTTAAGTATGGTGGAATCTGGGTTCAAACCAATGACCAACATCGGAAGAGGTACGATGGTGGCAAACAAAGGATTGTTAAAGTTGAGAAAGGACAACTCACAATTTTCACACTTAGAGGGGAGATTACTAGAATATGCCCATGGATTAAGGGTCATCCATATAATATGTATTATTAAATATTTGGTACATCACCGAAGCAGTACAAAGAAATCAATTCTGATGTTGAGGTGACTGAGTTCATAAATGTATATAATGATAACTTCCGTGCTGAGATAGTTATTACAATACAAGAAGCAGAAGGACATGAATCAAATTCTACTCTTAAGGAGGTGGTGAGTTCTGAACAAGTAGTTGAATGTTCTTTCAACCATAATGATGTTAGTTTGAGTGCTCCTACATCATGTTCTAAAGATATAGCTGTTGGCACATATTTTCCTGATGCAATAAATTTCAAACATGCTCTACGATCAGTTGCCATCAAGGAGAATTTTGGGGTTAGGATCAAGGCTAGTGACAAGACATGTGTTATTGCTACATATGCGTATCAAGGTTGCAAATGGAGAATTAGAGCTTCACTCTGTGAAGATGATCAGTCTTTTGAAGTTAGGAGACTTGAAGGAGATCATACTTGTCCTGGTATCAATCGTGCTGGTAATAAGCTAGCAACTTCTACATGGGTTGCCAATGAAATTCAAGATATTGTCAAAAGAAATCCAAATATTCCTCCAAAAGAGATCAATAACAATTTGGAGAAAGTGTACAGTCTGTCATTACCTTACATGAAGCTATGGAGGTTAAGGGAGCTAGCTCGTGATAATATATTTGGTTGTATAGATGATAATTATAAATGGGTTCCAACACTACAAGATGAATTGATTAGTAGAAATCTTGGATCACACATCACATATACTTATGACGTACGTGACAATTCTTTTCAAAGATTTTATGTTAGCTTCAAGGTATGTGCAGATGTATTCAAATATGGTTGTCGACCTCTTATAAGTTTGGATGCATGCCACCTCAAATCCAAGCATCTAGGAATGTTGTTATCAGCTACCTCACTTGACGGTAATAATGGTTTATTCCCCATAGGATTCGCTATTGTTGAGAACGAATCTAAGCAGACATGGCTATGGTTCCTAGATAACTTGGGGGAAACCATTGGTACAGAACTAGAACCCCTTGCTTTCATTTCTGGTATGGAAAAGGGTTTAGACGAGGCCATTAGAGAAGTGTACCCTGGAGCTGAACATAGAATATGTATTCGTCATTTGTGGAATAATATCAAAAAAAAATTCCATTGCAAAGATGGCCATAAACTCCAAGGTTTGGTTTGGGCAGCAGCGAATGCATACACTTGCACAGAGTATAATAACAAGCTATTTGAACTTAGTGTTTTAAATCAGACTATACATGCATACAATATTTCATTACCTTACAAGTGGTCGCGAAGTCAGTTTATGGTTGGGATTTACCACTCTACCAATACGAATAATTTTGCTGAATCATTCAATGCATGGATTGTGGAAGCTAGAACTAAACCTGTTGTCGATTTGATTGACTTGATTCATGGTAAACTCATGGAGCAAAGGAGCGCACGTAAGATGACGAGTTTGACATGGCACCGTGAATTAGTACCTCATGCAGAAGAATACATTAGAGAAATTACTACTAGAAAAGAACAATTATTAGTTCGGCAGTCTAGTTTGTACATGGCCGAAGTTGAATCCCTCCATTCAAGACATATTGTTGATGTCGAGAGCAGAGACTGCACTTGTAATGTTAGGCAATTAACAGGACTTCCTTGCATTCATGTCATAGCTTTCATTGGGATGAAGGAGCATCCGTTGTGGCATACATATGTTAATGATTACTACTACGTTTACAGGTAATATTTACATTTCATAAATGAAATTTTCAATTGCAGCGCCACATTAGGTGTACTAATTACAAGTGCTTTAGGTACCGGATGGCGTACGATGGAGCAATCGCCACATTACCCGGGAAGGATCAGTGGCAAGTAGTTAATGATGTGGTAGAGCTTGGAGTACAAAATACATCTAGACCTAGAGGAAGACCCAAAAGAAAAAGATTGCCTAATTTTTTGGAAAAGGATAAGAAGGTCCATAAATACAGCAGATGTGGTCTTTGGGGTCATCATTGAAGTACATGCAAGAATCCATTAAGGAGTACCATTGACGACGCATTATTATCACAAGTGGGCCAACCAAAATGAGCTAAATTGCCAAGTCGATGGACTCCACAAGACTTCATTGAGGGTTGTGAAAATGATTGTTCGTATGTTGAAGGTCTCTAAGTTATGGGAGGTTATGCAAAGACCACATCTGGTTTTCTTGGATGACATCATTTTGGGTCTTAATTTTTTGTAAAACTATTAAAGCACATAACTTTGTGTCTTTTGAAGTTCAATTAAGGTCTCTAAGTTATGCTGCTATTGATTACAATTAATATGATTTTGAGGTTGAATATAATTCATATGATTACAATTAATATAGGTATGTTATATTCTATTTGGAATATCAATTTTTTACAAGTTGATCAATAGCAGGTTATACAATTGTTGTATCTTGCCATATCTTGCAATATCTTTCCATATCTTGCCATAATAGCAGGTTATATAATTCAACAGCAGGTTTTACAAGCTCTTGCCATATCTTGCACCCGTACAAATTCATAGTAGCATATACTCCATATCTAGCAGGTTTTACAAGCTTTGATCAATAGCAGCATATACTCCATTCTTCCTTGAGCTAATACCGGATATTGGAACTACCAGGAGCCAATATTGGAAAAACCTGGATATTGGAATTACCTGGAGCCAATCCGAACTGGAGCTATTACCGGATTTTGACATCCGAACGGAACTGCAGCTACTACCGGAACTGGAGCTTTCATCTTATATTGTTGTTATAAAAATGCTAAAAAGTAATTAGATGAATATAAACACACTGTCATATCTATAATTTGGAATACAAACTCCATTGCTCAAAGTTTTTATAATTCCACAAAAGCTAAAATTACATGATTCCTTTTCATACAATAGAAGGAGATAATTTCTCCAAGATACACCAAAGTTTGCTTCGCATTCCACAAAAGCAAGCACAACATATGCTTGAACACAACATAACACTAACCAAAATAAACTCGTACTGTAATGTCAATAAAAACCTGAAAGAGTTCTTGAGAAGGATGAAGACAAGAAAGAACGAAAAGAGAGAATAAAGAGGAATTGTATCTTATTATCTAATGTGTACACCGGGTTACATTAATATATAGAATTTGAGTTAGGTAAACTTGTAAATACTAACATTACAGTTTAAGATATAATAAGCTGCTTCTAACATCCTCCCTCAAATTAACTATGCGGTTCCTGAATAGTTAATTTGGAACGGAGAAATTGATAACGAGCGCTGGAGAAGGCCTTTGTAAGGATGTCAGCGACTTGATCATGAGAGGGAATGTGTTGTATGCTAACATTGCCATCGGATATGTGTTGCCGAATGAATTGGTAGTCTATTTATATGTGCTTAGTCCGTGCATGGAAGACCGGGTTCTTGGCAATTGCAATGGTGGAAATGTTGTCACAATGGATGATCGTAGGATTGGTTTGGCCGATACCAAGTTCGGCGGACAAGCGGCGCAGCCAAATGGTTTCGGAGGAGGCAGCAGAGAGTGCCCTGTATTCTGATTTTGAAGTGCTCGAAATTCTGCCTTCATGGCATTCTGCCAGTGATCTTGAGTCGAAGCTTGTTTGAATGTGGTTGGAGTTGTTGGTTTTGTGTCTGTGCTGATAAGGGTAAAGATCTTTTTGGGTTTGTGAATACCTGCTTTCGAACGAATCTGCATATGATGAGTTGTTGGCTGAATAGGTTCGGATGTGTTATGCTGAACGTTGTCCATGGGAGCGTCAGTAGCAGGTTGTTCCGGAAAGAACTGTTGTTGGCTTGGAGTTAGCAAAGGTTGAATTGGGTTGGTGTGTTGTTGTGGCGGAGTGGAAAGGATGGTGGAGTGAGGTACTAGAGTAAGAGGAGGTTGGTTGGGGTAAATGTTAACAGGTGGTGGATTGGGTGTGGTGGTAAGATTTTTGTAAGGAAATATTTGTTCCTGAAAAACAACATGTTGTGAGACATGTGTTTTAGATATTTCCGGATTATAACACTTGTACCCCTTATGATGAGAGGAATACCCAAGAAATATGGATGGGTGGGATCTAGGTGCGAGTTTGTTTGGCGAGTAAGGTTGAAGCCACGGGTAGCAGAGTGAGGGGAGCTGAGACCGAGGGGTTTGGAAGGAAGACGGTTAATGAGGAAGTTTGCGGTGTCAACGACTTCAGCCCAGAATTTATCCGGTAGTTGAGACGCGTGAAGGAGAGTTCTAGTGAGGTTGAGGAGATAGCGATTCTTTCTTTCGGCAAGACCGTTTTGCTCCGGCGTATGGGGGCAGGAGAGTTGACGGATAATTCCTTTGGTAAGAAGGAACTGTGAGAATTCGGTGCTCATGAATTCCCCTCCGGAGTCAGATCTGAAGTGTTTCGGAGTAGTGTTGAACTGAGTTTTAATTAAACTGTAAAACATTTTAAATTTTGAGAAAGTTTCGTGTTTTGTATTCATAAAATAAATCCATGAGAACCGCGTAAAATCATCGATAAATACTACAAAATAACGAAATCCAGTAAGGGAAATGGTCGGAGACGGCCCCCAGACATCCGAGTGAATGAGTTCAAACGGATGTGTGGTGGTCGTGACGCTTTTATTAAATGCAAGCTTTTGGCTCTTGGCCAATTTACAAGAAGTGAAATGAAATGAAACAGAAATGTTCTTGAGAGCAGGGAAGTGTCTCGCTAGGTGTTGGAGAATCTGGTCGTTCGGGTGACCGAGACGAGCATGCCAGGAGGAAGAAGTATTCATCGTGGTGTGGAGTGCGGTGTTGCTGCTGTTCGGAGGTATATCGAGCTGATATAGACCATTATGGAGACGACCACGAAGTAGTCTGTGATCTTGTATATCCTTAATTTCAAAACCATTAGAGTTGAAAGTAATGGAGATAGAGTTGTCTTAAGTTAATTTAGAAACAGAGAGAAGATTGTGTGTTAGATTTGGGACATGTAACAAGTGACAGAGGTGGAGCTTACGATTCGTGTCGGGTAGAGGAAGCAAACCTTGGCCGTAGTTGTGAATTGGCAAGGATGAACCATTTGCGACAGTGATTGAGTCAGATCCGCTGTATGCAGATGGTTGCTGTAGATTCTGGCTGTCGTGCGTTAGGTGATTCGTTGCTCTGGAATCAAGAACCCAGTTGTGAGAGGTGGCTTAGGTCGGTTGAGCAAGCAGTGCACGGGGGGCATTCTGGATGGTTGGAGCGTATTTGTAGTTTGATCGGTGCCAGCAATTAAGGGCAATATGGCCAGTTTTGCCGCAGATCTGGCAGGTAGGGCGATTAGTCGGAGCAGGTGGGATTGTTTCGCTGGTTTCAGTCGGGCGAGCGGTGTTCTGTCTGTTCTTGAAGAATCTTTTGGAGCTCCGATTCCGGTTATGGTTAACAGAAGAGGCGTAGAGTGCAGATGCAGAATTTGCGATGGACTGATCTTTGTAAGAATCTTGATTAATGTGAATCTCTTCGCTGCAAAGCATGGAGTAGAGGTTGTCAAGGTCAGCGGGAAGGGGGAGGTTCAGATGGCTGTCTTGAAGGCATTGTATGCTGCCAGTAGTCCATTCAGCGTGTAGAGCACGACGTCCTCCGGATCTATTTTGGTCCCGACGGCGGCGATATTATCAACGATGTTCTTGATGCTAGAAAGATATTGTTGCATTGTTTGGTTTTGCATCTGAACATGATGTAATTCATTTTTCAGCTGAATTACACGGGACCTGCTTGAAGACTGTAGTCGACGTTCGAGGGTTGCCCAAACTTCTTGAGATGAGTTGGAGGTGATAACATAGGGAAGAAGGGCGGGTGAGATGGTGGAGAAAAGAGCAAAAATCAGGTTGCTGTCGATAAGCCGCCAGCGAGCATAGTCTTGGGAGGAAGTGTCAGTGGGAGGGTTGATCTTGCCGGTGAGATAATCACCGTAGCCATTTGCGGTGAGATTTTGGAGGATTTGAATCCTCCAAATAGCGTAGTTCTCAGTTGTAAGATGATGAGGTATAAGATTCTCGAAATTAGAGATAATGAACTTGAGAGATGCCGGAAGAGGAAGCTCGGCAGCGGTACCGGCAGGCATGGTGGTGGTGGAGGAGGAGGCTGGATGGTGGGTAGAATCATCTTCTTGATCTCCCATATCCGGCTCTGGATACCATGAAAGAGTTCTTGAGAAGGATGAAGACAAGCAAGAACGAACAGAGAGAATAAAGAGGAATTGTATCTTATTATCTAATGTGTACACCGGCTTACATTAATATATAGAGTTTGAGTTAGGTAAACTTGTAAATACTAACAATACAGTTTAAGATATAATAAGCTGCTGCTAACAAAACC